CAAGAACCTCACTTCTTCAGAAGCAAGAACCTCACTTCTTACTCACGAAAGCTTATGCTCCCAATACTTCTGTTAGTCTTAAAGGTGCCACAGGACCCTCTGTTGCTTTCTGAAGGAATGAGCAACTGAAAGCATGTGGCTGACCCCAGAAGAAACCTGGGGAGAGTTTTTTTTGGGTCAGGAGTGCAGGCTGAAAAGCATGTACTTGGTGCTGTGAGCAACAGAAGTTGTTTCTTGCTATTTGATTCCCTCTGCATTCAGAGGCACAGGACTTCATACATTCCTTGTAAATAAGCAAAACTGCATCACAGAAATATCTAGCTCCAATTTCTGCTCCCCACAGGAACACCCACCGGGCCCCAAGTGGTGACTAGCAAATTTGGTCAAAAGGGGCAACACTGGCCTTTTTAAAACAAAAATGAAAGCTGAGATTCTCTGTTATGTAATCACATAACTCCAGCAAGTGGGGCTTTCAGAAAAACACCAGATGCTGCAAGGCTTGACATAAAATACCATTGAGATCAGTGCAGCAGCAAGAACGATAAAGGCAAGAGTTGGAAACACTGCTGGTAGGATGATACAAAATGGGGGCCCCTCATGATCCAACAAATCATTAACAGAGCACAAAGAGACAGCAAAAACTCCCCCTCTCATACTGTGCCTCATCGGTTACACCTGTACAAAGTAAGCGTAAAACACTGCTGTCCCAATTTGATTGCACTTCACACTCACTTGGCACAGGTGTCAATAGTGACATGTGGTGCAAAGCTTGAGAGAATCAGGTAGCTGGAAAGAGCAGGTGTAACTCCACTGACCAAACCTGGCCTTCTGCTTCAGACCTGGGCCAAGAGAACATAGAGATCATCTCAGACAGTCTGTTGAAGCAATCTGGCAAGTTGCCTAATTATTTTGAGAGCAGTTGTGACCTGATACCAGCTAGTGTTACTGATTGTTTATACCTGCCTCACTAGATTTCCCTGATGTGCTCGTGGTTTTTGCTTTGGAACTGTATCTTGGGGATAAAGACTGAAATCAAAACAGGAGCTGTTTAGAACCAGCTCCACTGATTGATATCTCCCGTTTTCCCTTTTCCTTGTTTTCTTGTTGCTAAAGCTGTTTGCATTGAAACAGGATAATTCATGAGAATTCTTTGCCCTGTCATGGTGCCTTCCCTCTAAAGATCTCAAAACACTGTACAAACATTAATTCATTATCTCAGCCCTCCCAATCCCAGGAGATAACTCAGCTGTGGGGATCCAACCAATAAAGCAAACCTCAGCCCAAACCACTGAGTTTGGATGCAGGACCATGAATCAGCCTCTGTTTTTGTTGTTGTTGCTGTTTTAATCTGAGTTCAGTCTTGTTAAAAAGTTGCAGGAAACTTTCAAGGAAGCTGATTTGAGTCTGACGTTTGGCACAAAAACAGGTTTCACGTCTTCATCTTTCAAGGCCAGAGGGGACCTTTGTGATCATCGAGTCTGACCTCCTGGATTACACAGCCAGAGAACTTCCCCAACATAACTCCTAGAGCAGAGCTTTTAGAAAAACATCCAACCTTGATTAAAAAGTTGCCAGTGATGGGGAATCCACTATGACCC